ATCTTCTTTTTTTTAAAAGAAAAAAAAAACTTTATTGTTAAAATAAACAAGTTATACAAAATAGTTGGAAGTAACAAATAGTTAGAACTAGAGTGGGTTTCACACAAAACAAAAGAAAAACTTACAGTGCCAAGACGTGTCTAGCTGCAATTTTCTACTTTAAAAATCAATCAGGTTTACTATATTAGATAGAGTATAGAAATTTAACTTCAATGTTACGCTGGTAATCCTATGGAGGTAGTTGCTTTTGACCAACCGCATTACATACACTAAGGTAAATTATGTGATGGTACCAATGCATATCGAGTTTTCGCTTGAACACTTGTCACGGATTGATCAATTTTCGAGATATGTCACGCCCCGGCAAATTGACCTTTTTGCTGGCCAATTTTACATTTTTGCGCATACAAAGCGACATGACTATAAATTTTTAGACCAGAGCTCGGAAACCGAAGGACCAGGACTCGGAAAACGAACTCGGAGTTGATTACATTTTTTACCATATCTACTGAACTAATTATGCGTGTGGTCTGTTATATGTGCTGACCACATCAGATCTTTTTTGCATTATCACTATAGCGATAATCGGAAACCAACATAATAAATTTACAAAAAAAAAAATTAAATTTCCTAGTTTCAATATTGTCGTTTGAAATTTCTATTAAAAAATATCGCATAATTTCAGTCATTCTCATGAAATTTTTATTTAACATGAATTCAATCTTTATTTAAGAGACAATGTGAGAAAATTCGTCAGAAAAAGAAAAGATTAAACAAAAAAATTCTTAAATTTCCTTTTTGAGTTTTATTAACACATTTCATCTTTTAATCACATTTTTTTATGACACAATTTAAATGTTTCAGTGAGAATACTATAAAACAAAAAAGAGCGAGAATAATCCTTTTTTTTTTTGTTTTTTAAAGAAAAACTCATGAAAATTTTTTCATTTTATTTGTCATTTATTTAACCTAGAAAACAATTGAAGCATTATTTTAAGTAAACAATAAATTGTAGGTGGATAATAAAAAAATTTAAGAAGAAAGAGCAAGATTATGGGTTGTGTGAAAGTAAATGGAAAAACTGTTAAACATTAAAATTGAAAATTTTCTACTTTTTCAATGTTATCTATGTGATTATTTTATTTTTGCAGATTTTATTGCAAAAATATTGTGTTTTGCTTAATATTAGAGTTGAATAAATGAAAAATTTTATTCGGATACGTAACAGCTGATTTTCACTTCATTTAATTCTTAAATTGAGAATATTGTTAACGGTGAAAGAATTAATGGAAAAAGGTGGAGAAAGAGATAGACGTTAGCTTGCTGTATCCTTAATATTGAATTCAATAATTTAATCAAAAAACTGTGTTAGTAAAAAGAAGAAGTCACAAGTAGAAAGATTATGTGAAAAATTTTTATAAATTTCACCTTGCTGTTAATACGAAATTAATTGTTAAGAAGTGTTGAGATGATTCCTTAAATAGTCTTAAAATATTGGATTGTTTTTGATACATTTAACAAATATAATTGAATTCGTTTCTTTAGGATTATGCTAAATTGTAATTAATGCAATTTATAAGTTCAATTCAATTTGAATATCAACTCAATTTAATTATTTCTCAATTCAATCAATTAAAATTTTGGACAATTTAAAGCTATTTTCATGTTTTAGATATTTTTTAAACTCTTACCTTTATACTCCATTACCTTTAAAATTATTCATGGATTCCAAATATTAAATTACTTACATAAACTAATTAAATTTTTAAAATGAAAATCATCGATTTCAGATTTTTATGCAGATTTCAATTTGCCAATTTTCTTCTTTTCTATTTAAATTTCAATTTAATTTCCACAAAAAGGAAAATTTAATAAAACAAATATTTTTACAAAATTTCCATTAAATGTTATAATATAGCAATACTTTCCAGCTTTTTAACTGAAGTTTTCTTAACTCATTCTTCATCAATAACAAAATGAAAATTTGATTTATTTGAATAGTTTTTGTTTTTGTAAAGAATTGCTTTTCCAAATTAACTTTTCTTTAAAAAAAAATTATTTTTTACTTTCTTCTCTTTTTTTTTAATTCACCATCTCATCTCATATAAAGAAAAAGATGGTTTTTCAGCAAATTAAAGTATGATATTATGATGGGTAATGGAAGAATAGAAAAATAATAGGGTCAATATGCATAACAAACCGTTATCAAATTAATTTTTTTTCTGTGTATAACGTTAACAATGATAAAGTGGTTACCCAGAGCACAAAGCAAAAAAAAAAACAAAACATAAATAAAGTATGTGGGTTTACTGATTTTTCATTTGAAATGATTGAAAGCTTGTTAGCTTTAAAAAAAAAATACAAAAAAAAAAATAACTCAAATATAGAAAAGAAAACCGAACTTTGACTTTGTAAAAATCAATAAAAATATTTTTCTCTTTTTTTTTTCTTAAAGAATGTATGAATGTAATTGGAATTTATGTGTATACTTAAAAACAAAACGAGGACACAAAAAGGTCAAAAATCAAAAAGGACTTAACAAAAATAAACAAAAAAAAATAAAAAAAAAACTTTGTTTTATTTTCCTTTGTTTTACTAAAAACAAATTCTTGTTGAAAAATTTAAATTAAGTTTAAAAACAAAAAAGGAAGAGGAAAAATTGTCTTGGAAACCGGAAATCGTATATTTAATGATTTCAAGTGAACCGTGCATTAAAACAAATTACGTAAAAATCGAAATCAAATCAGTTTGTTGTTTTTTTTTTGCTTTTTAAATTGTATGGAATTTTAATGAAAAACAAAGATTAAAGGATTCAGGCAACTTTTCTAAAAAAAAAAGGGTAGAACTCTTATTCTTAAAGCCATACATTTTTCGGAAAAAGTTCTGAATACCTACTTCAAATATTATTACCGAAATTCATTCTAATGTTACATTAAATAGATTGGCGTCAAAGCCTGCATAGATCTCTGTTATGTCGATAAAGGTGCAACATTCTACTGTCATTCTAAGAAAGATCTAGCATTATGCTACGACAAATTTACGTTCTCGTTTCGTCCGGATTTCCTTCCGAATTTACCTACAGTAGTCGAAGGTTTCCACCACCTGTGCCCCCAATATTCCGCACAGTAATATAGCAGGTGCTCTAATGTTACATTAGAGTACAGACTATGCTCGTAAGAATCATTAGCCGCATGTACACCAATTAGAATGTGTTTCAATATTGTGCCAATTGCCTTTTGAACCGAGTCCATCTTCTTTCGGACAGTGCAAACATTTTGTCGCATCACCTTCATCCCCTTCATGTTTAACGTGGTAGAATTATATCGTAAATATGCCTCTACGACCATCCATGTCAAATTTGCTGTGCGGCAAAACCCTGGTTTTTTAGCATCTTGTGGTACTACAAAATATAATGTAAAATGTTTTTTTTCCAAGTTGATTGCCCTTCATATTGATTATATAACAAAAATCATATGCTATTCCTGAAGAAAAAACCTTACTTTCACCACAATAAATATTTTAGGATTAAGAGGACTGAAAAACAATTTCATTTATTTGTTTTTTTTTTCTCACTTTTTCTATAAAGGTTAAAATAATACACGTCGAAAAGACTAATTAGTAATGGTACGTGATAAATTTTCTAAATTTCTTCACGGATCTAAAGGACAATTTTTATTACTTGGTTTTTTTTTGTTGTATTTTAGAATGGCAAATAATATTCCAAAATTAAAATAGTAAATTTTTAAATTAAATTTTCTCCTCCGAGAGTTCATTAGAAATCGAAATTTTTATTTTAATAGATTAGTGAATGTGATTCGATAGAAATTTCCAATAATTTTGTTCTTAATTAAAAATGTGTGATTATGGTTAAATTTTCAACTTTAAAATGTTTTCAATTCCCTTTCGCATCATTCGGATACGTACAAAATTACAAATTATTTTGGTATATGGATAGGTAATATTAAGTAAATCAGAAAATCTGTATCAATTTTAAATTAAGGACATACAGGGTGATTCAGTAAAGAGAAGAATTACTATATATATCATTGTTTAGGGCATCAAAAATTCCGAGATACAGGGATTTTAACGATTTTTCAAAAAATGTGCCTATTTATCTCCGCCATATAAGATTTCTTAACGTTTAGTAATTTAAAATAAAGCTTAAGAAAATGGCACAAAACTATCTTAAAAAAATTTTACAGTTTCTAAAATTTTCACACGAAGTTGTAGAGTTAAAAAAACTAAAAAAAGCAAAATGAATAAAATTGGAGTTTTTCTAAAGCTCGAGTACTTGATATTCCGAAAATACATTAAATAAAAACTCAAGTATACATATGTTACTTTCAAGCACTTTACTATCCCTTTAAGAAATTGTTTGTTTAAAGCTTCTATCTCTATTGAAAGGGAAATTATAAGTATAAGAGCTTGGCCAAGTAGAAAATTATTGAAAATTCATTCAAATTCCTGTATCGCGCCATTGAGATTCGACAAATAGTTAAAAAAAAAAATTTACCAATTTTACCAAGCCCTAAATAATTGTAAATAATATTGTACTGTTTACTTAATCACCCTGTGTATACGTACGTGACTAAAGCTCAAATTAAATTTTCTAATTACAACGATTTTGTAAAATTATTTTTAAAATGTGCCTGTCTTATATTGCACTAAATTTTATATTTCTGTTATAAAATAAAAAAACAAAAAATAAAATCCTAGATAAATTGGTTTCTAATTTTAAATAATTGTTGGTTTTTTTGTATCATCAATGACATTTTAAATTGCCAATACTGTTAACATTTTTAAAATATTAATAAAAATTTCCAAATTAGTTCGAGGCACATGCTGTAATTTTCTTCTTTCTAATAAATGTCGTCTGAGTAATACCTAGCGTAAAGAACTAAATGATAGCAACTAATACCTTATATTTCAATAAAATTAAGTATAAAAGAAATTAAAAATTTCAAATCATATTTTTAATAATTTTTTTTTTCCAATTTCAGATCCAATTAAAAAGTCATCTCAATTATCACTAAAAGCGGAAACATTTGCCCTAATTTGTGAATTATGAAATGAGAGAGAACTACGTTAACTACTATTACTAACCATCATTAAATAACAATTGATTGATAAACAACACAACAATTAAGTGCCAAATATAACTAATCAGACAAAAAAAAAATTGTGAATTAAGAAGAAATTTTGTGTCAAAAAAATAATAATTTTAAGAATTTGCCAAAACCAATAATTTTCTCCATAAAGCCATTTGTAAATATACTATTAAATTCTAAATTCCATTTGGAAAAATTTTAGCAAATCCTAAAAGAAACATTTTTTTAAATACAGCAACAATAATCACAAATAGAAAAAAATTCTTAATTAGCTATTTAAAAACCAATTTTCCTTCGGTTGTACTTCGGAAAAAAAGCAAAAAAGCTGCAAAATGAAAAAAAAATGTTTAGCTAATTACTAAATACGAAAAAAGAATTGGGTGTAATAGCCAATAGACACAAAATAAAAAAAATGACAACACCTAAAAGCAACGACCTTCAGCAGCAAAGTAACAAAAACTTAAAAAAGTTTTACCACACTTTTTTTACCCTCTATGGTAAATAAATTGGGGTCGCAGAACAGAGAAGAAAGAATTTTACCATTCATGTAATTGTACAACTAAAATAAAAGTTTTCAACAAATAAAATCAAGAAATTACAAAAAATAATTTCAGAAAAAAGTTTTTAAATTTTTAGTATATGAAAAGTATAAGTCCACAAAGTAAAGCAGTGTATAAATATAACATTAATTCTAACGAAGCTATTCTCGACTGAAATATAATAAAAAATTCTGCAACTTAAAAATTTAAAACCAAATATAAGCCAAAATGAAGTCAATATTAAGGAATTTCAATAGAAATTATAATTTTAAATTACTTTTAATTTTTTATATGATTTTAAATATAAGCTCAAGGTATATTAATGCAGCACCAACAACTAATTCACCGTCTAAAATGATATCGCCGTCCATCAATAATTCGGAGCAGATTCATAATCAAAATAAAATTCAATTATTATTAAGTGAACAGACGACACAACACAATGGTGATAATTTTGAGCAACTTGAAATATCAACAACGACAACAGTACCAATATTCTCAACAATTTTAAATAAAAATATAGAAAATGATAAATATAAAACATTTTCGACAATTGATTCAACGACTGCAATGCCGTCTGTTACAAGTACAACATTAAAAACAATAACGCAATCATCGGAAAATCCAACAACCCAACAAAAAATTGTAACCACTGATGAAACCTTAACAACAATTGAACCTGGGAAACAAACAAAATTAACATCAACAAATACGGTAGCAGAAAGAACAACCGAGTTACCACAATTAAACACATCAACATTAAAACCAATTTCAGTAGTTACGGAGCAAACAGTTGATATCAAACATCATACTACTACTAAAAAAAATCAGAAACTAAGAAAATCAAAAAATCGAACTCCTAAAAAATTAGAAGATAAAGCTTCTAAAAGTAAAACTGATTCTTTGAAACATAATCATACACCAAAAAATGAAAAAAAAATACACGAAGACATTCATGTAAATAAATTATTCGAAAAATCTACTACTACAACAGCAACAACAACAGCCATGACAATTGAAAATACAGAACCAAAAACAATGTCAAGTTCATTCATTGCAACAACTAATTCAGAACCAATTATGATAGATTATTTAACAACAGTTCGATCAAGTCCGATGGATGAATTATTGCAGCTCAATGATCAACAAGTAGAGGAAGCGTTACTTTTGACTAAAAAAGATGTTAAAACCACCGAAAAACCCATACATCACAATAAGAAAAAACATGAACATAATTTAAAAACTAAGGAAAATCATAAAACAATTAAAACTACAGCAACGTCTACAACAACAGCTACCACAACTACAGCTACTAATACAGAATTAACACCAAATGGAAAACCAATAACTCAGCATACGACAGAGTCTAAAAAATCAAAACATTATGAGAATAAGAAATCTCATACAACGTACAAGAAAAAGCTAAGACCAAAAAATCATATTTCTAGTCATTCTAAAACGCACAGTGAAACGAAACATGGTATATCGACTTCAAGTACGCCAACTATATCTTCAACTGTTCTTCCATTTGCACCAACTACAAATGATATGTCGAACCCAACTTTTTTGCCAACAACTAATGATGCATCGTCATCTTCAATTTCAACTTCCAGTGCAGACCCATTTAGTAAATTGAATACAAAAACTGTAAATCCATTTAGACATCAAGAAGCTATTGATGATATTTCAGTTAGTGACACAGTATCTGCTACAACACTGGAGACCACCACCGTTGAAACACCTTTAGCAATGGCTTCAGCAACAACCACTCATCAAACAACATCAGCCGGTAATTTTCAATTAAAATTAAAGCAAACACCGAATCCTTCTACAGTTGATGAAATCGATGAAAATAACTCAAAATTTGCTAGCGCATCGGATGATCTAATAACAACATACTCAACACAATTGCAATTGTCCTCTTCTCCATCACAACAGTCAACAATACGACCGATTTTACACACTGTAAACTCACAAACACAAACGTCAATAAAAGATCAGGTTTTAATATCAACTGAAGTGATTCCAACAGTAAGTACAATAAAAGATACATCAACAACAATATCAGGTGAAAATTTATCAGCAGAAGAAACTTCTACAGAGAAAAATAAAATTTTAAAAATGAACAAAATACCTTTAGCACTAGCAACATCTTCATCTCAAACACTCGTTACTACTGAAAAAGAGTTATCTTCAATTTCTACAACAAATCCAATTATAAAACATAACAACGTAACGCCTCTTCGTGGAACAACTAAGTCTTTTGAAACATCATCCTCGCCTACAACATTTATGGCACAAGATCAACTAAAGTATGCAGAAGACGACGGAAACAATGTGGAATTGGTTACAACAAAGTTTATAACCTCTGATAATTCAAAAATTTCAAGTTCAAAAAATATTGAAACAAAGAAAATTGATTCTCTGTTATTACCTACAGAAATGAAAGATGAAAAATTTATATCTACACCATTAACAACAGAAGCATCAAAACAATTAATTTATGAACGTAAAAATCGTTTACAATCAATAAACGAATATAAAATTGATAACTCTGGAAAAATACACAACAAAGACACGGCATCTGCTAATGATAGTAACGAAAATTCTAATTTTAATACTATTGTACAGTTCAAAGATATATTTCCATATAAAATGACTGCAACTGAATTATCAACAACAACTACAACATCAGTCGATACCCAAAATAAAGTAATTTTGAAAGAAAATGAAATTTCAATTTCTACAAGCTTACCTATCATTTCAACCAACCCTATTGCAATTGATAGCACAACTGCTTCTACTACCATCAAACCAAAATCATCTACTTCTCTTTATTCAACTTTAAAAAATACCTTTCGTGCAATACATACGCCTACAGGATCTTCTATGGAGAAAGATATTTCAATATTGGATTCGGGAGTAAAGGACACTGCATCTACAGCAACAATAGAAAGAGATGGTTCAACACAATCAAACAAAGCAGAAAATAATTATGAGCATAATGAACAAATGAAATTATATTCAACAGAAGTAAATTTTAGTGACGGTGTTACCACTCCGCTCATTAGAGGAGCTACTGCTACGGTTGGTGCAATTGCCAATCAAGAAAAATTAATAAAACTGACAGATATCGAAAATATCGATTCGTCTGAATTAATAAAAAGCGAAGCACTTGTAAAACACAATGATAGCCACATTGAAATTTCACTTAAACCCACGAAGAATCCAAAAGAAGAAATAACAAACAATTCTCAAGGTTCAATTGGACATGATGGATTGAAAGCAACTAAAAAGAAACAATTACTAGATAAACACTTTAAAACCCTAAATACAAAAATCAATGATGAACTTATTCCTGAACATAAACTAGGTCCACTGCATATGAAAGAGACAGTTTTGAGGCCCAAATCTGAAGATACTACCGTAGAGCCTTTATTAAAATTTTCTCCAGCTCCACAGGATAATATTCAAAATAGTGACGTTACAAGTGCTCATTTAAATCTTGATAAATCACAGTCAACTGAGACGTTACCGCGCATAGATTCGTCAATTTTACATAATTTAGCATCACCGAAAACATCTACGGAATCAGATAATGAGTCAACTGTGATGCTTAATATAGACTTGATCTCTGAACCTGGTTCGCAACACGAAACATCATCATTTTTGTATGACACAGTTAGTAAAATACAGCCGCCACCTACAACTAACACAAAAACAACAACCGAAAGTGAATATATAAAACATAAGAATTACGAAAAATCTTTAATTCCTAAATTAGAATGGATTCCAATAGCAAGTGTAGAGCACATAGATTTTTCAGATTCCAACCATTTGGCAACACCATCAGACGCATCAACAATCATGCCCCAATTTGCTAGTGATAAATCAACCAAATTAAAATCACAAGATCAATTATCGGACGACTTGAGTAATTCTCGAACAAAGTCTCTTGAAATTGAACTAGTTGAACCAACAAAAACGGGAACTCATCAGTCGCAAACGGTACCAGAGTTTTTCGAAATTGCAAAACCAATTTCTGCGAACCAAAATATTAAAGCGAATGGTAACGATAAAGAAAATTCGGAGTCATCTCCAATAGAAATACAAATTAATGTCTCTGAAGGATTTGGTAATGAAAACGAAAATTTGGAATTTTCGTTTCGACAAATGCATTCAGAGAATTCCTTCAAGCCTATTAAAGTAGCTCATACTATGCAAAATCCTCCCCCAGGATTCCAAGAAATTGGTGAAATCACAATTCAGCGTTCAATCGAAAATCAAGGAACGGACTCAGTTATTACAGCAAAACCTATTAAATCTGTAATTAATAAAAATTTAACGAAATCTACCAATAATGCAGATCTTAACCCAAATAAGAACAACGAAGCGGAAGAAATTCTTCAAGTTGAAATAACAGCTATTGACAATAGCACCGGAATTGAAAGTTTTAACGAACCTAAATTTACCTTACACAGCGAACCAAATTTAAATCGCAATCGGGATAACGATGATTTTTTTATACCAGATCTAAAATTGGAATCAATTGATGAATTGAAAGAATTAAATCGTCAATCAGATAATTTTGGTAAAGACGCTTTAGATAGTGATTCTGACACCATATTTTACATTTCGAATACTGAAGTTAAGGTAGCCGAATCCAAACCAACGCCTAATACATTATATCACAGTGAAGTAGAGTCGTTATCTGATTTGTATCGTCACAGAAATAAAACTGCAGCTGAAATTAATCGTTCTAAGTTAGAGTCACAATTTTTTCCAACAATTTATGAAGAAGATGTAAGAATTGACGTAGGGAAAACTAAAAATTCCACATATATTCCTAAGCAAACAGAATCCGATCGTTATGAAGAGGATATAATTTTATCACCAATAAAAAACAATTTTGATTCCCTAAAAATGGAAATTAATTCTCAAGCTAACAATTTCAACGAAAACTCGGCAATTACACTAAATACAATCAATTCAGATAGTTCATATCCTCTAAGTTCATCTGCTGCAGATGTGAGTTATGTTGGAGAAACATTAATAGAAATAGAGGAATCAACTAATGCAAATCCCGCTATACCACCATTAGATTTGATAACAAGTGCTCCGATATCCATGTACGATAATGCACACCGTATTAGCACAACTAAAAAAGATAATGATATACCATTAGGTATGATTATTGCTGGAGAGAGTGCACCAATTGATGATTTAACGGGGGAAAACACTAGCGGAGCATTATTATCCGATGTTATAATTCAACCAGCTATAATACCTGAAATGTCTATTGGGGTTCCTGTAATCGGTGAACTACCACCGCAAATTGAATTAAAAGAAATTGATTACATTCCAAATTTGACAAATGGTGGTAGTGGTGGAGATGGAAAGAGTTCACAACAAATGCAGCAACAACAACAACAATCAGACCAAATTGATGGTGGCGCAATACAGTATGGCGGTGATTTAATATCTGATGATGATACATCCGGTAGTGCTGGAAGTCGTTATGTATTTGAATCGTCATATCCATTTGGTGATGAAAGAATACGTAAAGTTGGTAGATTACGTAATGAGCAAAATTTTGATAATGATGCTAGTGATATCGATGATAACGATAGTAACAGTAGTAGTCGCGATGATGATAATTTCAATACACCAAATAGAAATAATGTTGATAACAATAAAAATGGTAACAATAATGACGGTGATTTAAATAACATTGACAATAGTGGTATATTAGCGAATCATCAACAAATTGTTATGCACGCAGTTAATAGTAATTTTCAAAAAGAACAATTCATAGCCGATTTTCCCAGTTATGATACATTAAAAGAAATTCCACATAAACGAAATAATATTAAAGAAAATGATGATATTAATAGTAATATAAATTCAAATTATAATACGAAAACGAATTCTGAGGAAATAGTAAATTCAACTGCACAAGCAATATTAAATAATGCATATAATACAACATTAACTAGTCAACCATATGGTAATAGTAGTAGCGCTAATTCAACTGAACCAGAACAATTAGGGAATGCTACCGCTTTTATAATAATGGATGACACTGAAGGAAATATTTTTGGTAAGTTTTATATGAATTTTATATCTTTATAAAAATTATTTGTTTTATGAAATTTTTTACAAAAATTCTTTAAATTTGTTAAACTTACAATTCATGAAATTATTTAGTATGTATGTATAGATAAACCAAAAATCGAATCACGGTTCTAGAAAAATTTCCTTATTCACAGGAAATCTAATAGCAAAATATTATCATATAGTTTACCGAAATTATTTCAGAATTTATTCATTTCCTATAATATTAGAATATTCATTTTGTCAACAGTTTTTCAATTACAATGTTATTAAAAATTCCTTCAACGATTCAAAATTAATTTAAATGATTCAAAATTAAAAAAGATTTTCAAATTTTTTTTAAACTGGGAATTTTTGAAAACAAAAATGAAGATTATTTAAAGTATAGTAAAAAACAGAATTTTATAATAAAAATTACATAAAAAAATTCTTTACTTAATAAAGAATACTAAAATCCCATTTACAAATTTTCTCTTTTAAAAATATTATAAATAATTCCTACAAAAAGCATTTGCTTTAAATTTACAGTCCATTATTAAGAACTTATATTCCTATGAGAATTAACAAGAAGAAAATAAAATATTATATTAGATGTACCATTGCTTTTAACACATTAAAAAATATGTTAAAAATTTAATCTGCATTATCCTTTTTAAAATTTATCTTGGAACATAATTTCATTTCTTAACCAAAATATGTAAATAACAATAAAAATTATTTTCAATTAATTATCTCATTCTTGTTTTTTATGAAAATCATTCTTAGATTTAGCTTATCAAAATATATAGAAGATTTTTGTACACATTTTATACATATAACATGGATATATATCTAATACGAAGAATATCGAGACAGTAAGGATATTAAATATGATTTACTTAAGAAAATTTTTACACAGAAAGTTATTAGAATTTATTATATTAAATGAAACATCTTAAAAATTAATTATATTTCTCCCTTCTCCATCTATTCAGCATCAGTTTACATATTATTGTTTTTATGTTTAGTAAAAAAAATTATATAGTAGCATTTTCTTATTTTTCTTATAGGTAATGGGTTGTTTATGGGGTAAAGTGGAAATATAAATCCTTTTAGAAATTTAGACGATTATTTTCCCCTAAAATTCTTTATGTACAGAAATTTCATTCATTATTTTTTAATTATATTTTAAAATAATTTTCAAAATTGAAAATTATTTTTTATTGTAAGGGTTAACCACAAAATGGCTGCCATAAAATTTTTAATCTTTAAATTGATAATCACTCTAGAAATTTTTTCTTTAGAGTCTTTAAAAAAATTTTGATATAAAATTAGTGGAAATTTCGATATACTCGAAAGACAAAGGAATAAGTGATTTTTTAATGAGATTTTTGACAGGACATTTTAATTTAAGAGTAATCTGATGAAGTTAAGCCTGGATAGCGACGGCCTTTCTAGATTTTGTGGGAAAATGTCGAACGTATTTGTGAAGCTGTTTTTATAAAGTATTCAAATTTATTAGAATATCTTAGGGATGCCCTAAAGATTATATTACCTATCGGGAAAAAATTCTTATTTTTGAGACTCTATGCATGTTTACTTTAAGACAAAAGTTCGAAAAGTAAAATTTACATTCAATTCAATTTTTATAATCATTAAATTAAGAATGCTTAAAATTAAAATTGTATGACATAAAATAAAGTTAAACAATTGAAATAAAATTGAAATGACTAAAAATGAAATTTTTTTAAATAAAAGCGCAAGAAAAGAATTTTTAAAATTTTTATAGCAATTGCTATTTTTATTAAGAATTAAATTTATTACTGTTTCAGAAAATTATTTTTATTCCGAAAGGAATGAAAATTTCCAGTTGAGTAAATAAAGTTAATTAAATTTTCAATACAAAATTCGAAGTTATATATTTTTTATTTTGAAATATTTTAATAAAGAACCTGTAAGGCTAAAAATATTTTTGGTGATGAAAGGAAAAGATTTCGCATAATATTTAAGAAATTCATTGATAATATTAATTAAGGAGTTTAATCAAACTTAAACATTTTATATGGCTGTAATAGAGTATTCAAACTTTTTAATTCGAAATGCTTTGAAAAAATTTTATTGAGAAAATCGTGTCCAATTACATTTTTTATTCCATAGACATATTAGAATTGTATTCAAATTTATATATTCTAAATTTCTCTAACTTTAAAAATAATTTTGTATTTAATTCTTTAAAAATTAAATTCATGTAGGAGGGAAGTATGAGTAAAGCAAATTTTATAACAATTTTTGTAAAATTTCAGGCTTTTTCTTAAGAAGAAAATTCTGTTAATTTTTAATGCAACCTATACAATAATATTGTATAATATAATACTGTACATAATTAAGTATATATATGCACAAATATAAAAATTTTCATAATATCTTATGTAATTGTCTTTATGTATTTGGTTTCATTATAAAATATTAGGTAGACAATAAAATCCTTAAACAAATCATTTTTTATAAATCATTTTATCTTTTTCTTTTTCATGTAATAAATAAATATTTTTGTGGGTAGTCTACACCAGAATTAAATAGTACATGTATACATAATATTATATATTATGATGTATGTTTGTATACCTTATAATATTGTTTTATATAAAATTACAAACACCTCATATATACGAAAATATTTTTTCAAATTCATTAGTCTCAAACAATAAATCTTCAAAATTTGTTCTTTTCTCTAAAGTACCCCACATTATACTGTTAATAATTTCAAGAAAATTGTTAAAACGAAAAAAAAAATTTAATTTTTTCTAAAATTGGGCAAAATCAAAGATATTAAAATTTCAAAAACAAGGTGTATTCAGAATTGAAAAAGGTTTTGTAAAAACCAATTTAATTTAATTAGATTGTGAGGCATAAAGAACCAAATACGCTTTCCAAATATTTTAGAAAGATATTTTTAGGAAATTTTCAAGATATTTTAGAAAATTTGAAATTTTCGGAATCTTTTCATTGAAAGTGTTATTTTTTAAAGACGAACCTTACAATATTTACTGCAGTTTAGGTGTTCCCGTCTCACTGCCACGACATTTTTAAATCTTTTTAGAATAAATTTTTGTTAGTCAAAAATACCTGACAAAGCGCTAATTAGTTTAATTAATTAATTAGAGCCTTTTAGTTTTTTTAGGTTCCGAAAATCAGCAATTTTTCAGTAATAACAAATTCAAGTCACCTTGTCCATAAATATCAAGAATAGCGTCTACTTCACAAGAATAATTATTATGTACGAGAAAGTATCGTACTACCGTGTTACGAACTCATTATTAAAACAACTTGTCCAGGTCGCAAATAAAATTTTATAAACCTCACAATTTATTGTCAATTTTTATTTCCAACAGTTTCATTCAGATAGACTGAAGAAAATTATTGTTATTCAACCATCTACTAGAGTCTATTGTCTGCATACATTTATTAACTGCCATATTGTATGCATGTATACTCTTATCACCTCTTTTAATTTTTGATGGTCTGTAACTGAAGCATAAAAGAAAATCACATACATAGCATAAAAAAATGGGAAGAGGAATCAATTTTTTAATCGTTTTTCTTATATGAAAAAATTTTCCAATATTCTTTTTTATTGAATTCAATTTTTTTGTATTTTGTTTTTCTTTTCTTTTTTTGTCTCTTTCATTATTGTATTATTTTAATTTATATCTCTTATCCCTTGTTTTAGTTTCTCTGCCATTCTTTTTAACTATTTATAATATCTAATTCTATACATTTGTGTATCGAATTGTATTTCAATAAAATAGCACAGATGCCTAGAGTAGGCACGTAATATCCTGTATTTTATGGTTGTATGTATATTCTTAAAAATGTACATATTGTACATATATTATTTATAAGTATCCTGCTGTGTTATTTTATAGATTAAAATAATGTTTCAAAAGATTCAGATATTGAGCATTACAATATTGCTGTTGTATTCAATGAAAATCTATATTATATATAGAAAATGGTTATTTCCTTAGAATTTTATTAAATCCTGTTATATACATATTATATGCCTTTTTCCTGGTTCTATTAAAAAGTGGAAATCATCAATTTAATATTTTAGTTTTCTCGATGCTATTCTGTGTGTTTTCTGTTTTATGCTCTTTTTGTTGAGTATTTTTTAAAAGATTTATTTTGATATTCATGAAAAATTGGATTTGTTTTAAAAATGAAATGAAAACGGGAAGAAATTTACTATTCGTATATACATATTATGTACATACTTATGTAGATATTGAATAAAATAGAAAATAATATATAAGAATCATCATTTATAAAAGATTATATAATGCAACATAAATCAAATATATAAGTAATAAAATTTATAATGATAGATGAAAATAAATGGATGTGATCAGTCTTCTATGATTTTGAAGCTATAAGAAATGGAGATATTTTTCTAAAAATATAATTCAGAATTAATTTATTTAAATTTAGTTGAAAGTTCTCTTTCATTAAATTATAATAAATATTTTAATGAAAATAAAATTCAAAAGAAATACCGGTCTCTATGTGGAAACAGTTAATCTTATCAGACCTCATTAGAACTTTATCCTACCATAATCAATTTATTTTATTTTTTTTCGGAATAAGCATAGTAACCATTGCATAGTCTCATAATTTGAACTAGTTTTCTTTTTTTGCGAATTATCCCTACGAACTATTTCTTTTTTCGTATTTATGAGCAGGTGACCAAGAAAATATAGTTTAATAACAAAATTTTTGATCTGTTTAAAAAATTATATTCTCCCAATCAGAGCTCTGATTTCCAAAAATTTAAAATCTAGCTCACTCTTTTCTAACAATACTCTGCAATGACCACATTATTTAACCGATTTTCAGTATAAGAGGGCTTGAAAGGCTTTCAGAAATTTATTTATTGCTACAACTTCAACTGGCTTTTTCTCAAATTTTGGTTTTTATAAATAAACTTGTAAAGATTCATGGTAATCAAATAGTATAGCAGTCCATAAATAGGAAACACAAGCAAACACGTCACATACATTGTAAGTAATAAGACGTCATATGAATATTCATATACACGAATAACTAGAATACAAAATGTTAACAATTACTCCATTGTGCGAACTTAATTGAAGTATGTTGGTGAAACGAGTAGGTCATGCATGTTGGTCATGTAAGTCGATCATGCACATTGGTCGTAAATGCTGTTCATGCAGCCTGGTCACGCATCTTGTCCAATTTAAATTCAATGCATGTTGGTCGTGTTTGCCGCTTATGTTGATGGCTTATGCAAGTTTGTCACGTACTTTTTCTTAGAAATCATTGCAAGAATTTTCTAAACAACTTCCCAAAATTCCGTGCTAATCGAATTATTAGTCCATAAAGAACAGTCAAACAAACACACATTATGTACATTTACTAGATAGATTTTTAACTTTAGTCCAAATTAACAGTTTTTATATGCTAAACTGCCTTTTAGTTTGTATATCCTGATATTTCGAACAAATGGATGAATATTTCGAATTTTTTTATAGCTGCCTAACAACATCAAAATTAATTTTATATCTTCAATTTCATTCAGTCTGTAATACCGAATTTTTTCACCACTAATTTAGTCACTACTCACCAGTAATTTAGTGTTTGCTATAACATCTAAGTATAAATATTCACACTGCTGTAATCAAAATTAATATATGAGCTATTTTATTAACAAAACTATTGTTTAAAAAAAAAACAGCGTTCGAGTTTGTAAAAACTCAAAATAGAAATTCTCATACAGTTTTGGAATTTATAGTCGATATAACTTAAGTAAGAAGTGCTTCCTTTAGTTTTACTTAGAGATGAACGGTTCCATATATTTTTCTAGAAATTCTTTGACTATAAATTTTTGTTTTAACATCTTATTCACATTGTTTTTCATATCTACTCCATCATCTCTCATACCATTTCCATATGTATCTGAATTATTCTAAAAGAAAAAGTAAAAAAACTCGAAATTTTTTAAACATTACTTTAACTTTTAACCGTAAAATAAAAATAAAATTTTAATATTTTAAATGTACACCCCCCCCTGTATATTATTTATGTGAAGTACGTGAATTTATTTAATTTATTTTAGTGAATATTTTGATTATATAAAAGTAAACATACGCGGATATAAGAGATATTCAAGAAAAAAATAATAATAATTTTATTGAAATGTATGAAGCGTCGAAGTATGACTATTTTTATCTACAGTCTTATAAATATTTTATTAGAAATTTTTCATAGAAGTAAAATAAATATTATTCTCTTTGTTCATATTAAAAATACCCATATATAGTTACTCATATATTTTGTGAATAAAAAGGTGAACATCCTTTTAGACTCCCGTTATACAATAGTATAAATTATTGAATTTATGTAACAATTTTTTTGAAAAAATCAACTCTACTCTACTATTATGTAATTATATTTTATATAAAGCTCAGTATGTACTCAGTCAGCTTTGATATATAAATTCCTATACAACTTACTAGGTTTCTTTCTTTTTTATATTTTCAGATTTAACTGATATTCAAACATTACTGATTGCATGCTTTGCTACTCTTATACCATTGGTTTTATCATTGTTATTAGCTTTTGCTGTACGGTAAGTAAAAATTTTATTTTTTTTTTTTGTTCTTTTATATTCATTTATAAATAGAATCTGTTTTTTACATTAAAACTTTTCATGTCAAAACTTTATATAAAACAAGAAAATTTTTTTGGCAAATATTTTTAGATTTTTTTTGTAACTATATAGATAGAAGATTTTATTTTTACTTTTTTCATGTTTCGTTGTAAATTAAAGAAATTAGAAAATGGTGTATGAATATTTTTAGCATATTTAAATTTTGTAAATTACATAAAATCCTTGAAACTATATTATTTATAAATTCTTAAATTTAATTAAAATAAGTGAATATTTTGAGATGACAATTTAAAAGTTTCCTTAATTGTGGGAGGAAATATTTTAAATTATTCTTTGATTAAGAACTTAATAGAAAGAATACTGTATATGAAAATAAAAATATTTTATGGAGTTGCTATTATTTTTAATATTATGGAGTAGAGAAAGGCAGCTCAAAGCTTATCAGATTTAATTAACTTCAAAGATCAGTTCTTATTTAAAATAAATGCTAAAAACAGAGTCTTAAATGAATAGAAAATGTTGAATTTTTGAAATACAATAAAAATGTGTACTGTATCAAGAACTCATTTCAAGAAAATGCTCGCATTTAATTAAATTTTTGTCATTATGAAAAGATTATTTATATAAATGAGAGGGTACTGTCCTATTCTCTTTCTATTTTATGTTTAATTGTAAGTTATGAGTAAATTTCCGGCAGATACCCATTTTTTATGAATTAAGAATCGGCAATTAACTGTAGCTAGCTTATCTCCTTTTAATATTACCCAATTTGTCGAAGAAAGAGGAACAAATTATCAAAAGTCAATATTAGATCTTTTTAATAAAATGGTCTTATACTTGTCAATAATCATGTTTTTGTAATAAAATTTAAGCTAAATTTTCGACTTTTCGAGTCCTTAAGCGTTAACAAACATTTTGCATCTCAATTTAAAAATATTTTAATTCGGGTTTGTCCAAAAATATTGAAAATAATTATAGAATAAAACAAATAATAATTGTAATTGTAAAACAATTAATGCAATTTTAAATTAAAATAAAGGACTAAAACGACTTAATAGAAAAAAAATTTTACATAATTATGTCCAATTCTCCAATTTAATTTTTTTTTTTTTCATTTTTTTCGCATATTTCAACTCGAATGAACAACACAAAGTTTAATTTATTAATAAAATTTGAAAAAATACGTTCAATATGGAAATTAAGGGTTAAAGAAAAAAACAATTAATATAAAAAAATTTTCCACACTTAATTATAATTTTAAAATTTTAATTATTTTTTTCCATAATGAATTTTATAATAATAATTAAACTAATTTAAAATATTAAAATTTAATGTACTTTATTAAAATCTTATAAAATGATTTTGAATGAATATGAAATTAAAATAAATTACATTAATATATTAATGAATAAATTTTAATTATTTAAATTTTCATATAATTAAAAAATAAAATTTATATAATTAATCATTTAACCGTAAATTTATTTCCAGTAATTATTAAAACGTGAATGTACGCGAACCATATGATGTGAAAAATAATTTTAAATATGTTTTTTTTTTTTCAACATTACCATTTCAATTAACTCTTAATTAAATATGAATTATAGTTTAAAACAATTTTAAAATTATGTAATTTAAATATTTTTTAAACTTTAAATGAAGATATATTTTTATTAATTAAATTATTATGGTTGCTCAAAAATTTATTTAATTTTTATATTGGTTTCAAGCTAGTCAGACAAAATCTTTAACCGGCTAATGAATGTTTAGAAATGGTACAAAAATAATTAGAATTGTTTAAGTTTAATATATTGCAAATAAACGTCCGATATCTGAACCGCCATACTGGGAGAGTCGTGTTAATTTTGGAATCTTATTTTTTAAGTTAATAGTTAACTGAAAATTAAAATTAAGTAATTCAGCGCACCTACTACATAGAGAACATTTGAAGACGTTTTAATCACTAACATGCCTTCCTAAAAATATGCAATTTTTTTAATGTTACTATTACAAAAAATGATCAAGAAAACGAAGATAGAAACATGTTACATACGTTTACATATTTTGAGCTATAATAATTGTTATCAAAAAATTAATCTAACAACAAAAAATATTTTACAATATTTATATTAATTTCAATTTATTTCACAAACTCTTAAATTCAGCCAAAAATAAATCGCAATAATCTGGAATTTCTTGTGTTTTATTACAAAATATATGTAAGTTAGTGTTTAACTTTTGCTTAAAACTTTTAAAGGTGTTTAAATTTTTAACAACATCCCCATATAAATATGCAATTTTTCATTTTAATATTAATATTGTAGAATTAAGATCAAGAAAACCATGATAGAAACAGATTACATACGCTTATATATTAAAAATAAATCTTACCAATCTGGACGACCGAATTATTTGTGTCTTGTCACAATATAAGCTAGTGCTTATAATTTTTGCTAAATTTTCCTTAATAATTAAATTCTAGAAGTTGAAATGCATGTCACCATCTACTTTACATAAATATAACTTGCGTTATATTCAGTGTAAACTATATATATATATTAATAAAAATTCTAATGAAAAAGTAATTTTTTAAAATGTTAAAAATGAAAAAACAAAAAGAAAAAATTAATCACAAATGCAATGCTGAGCACAATATATACGAGTCTATTACTCAAATGTCAAATTGAAATGAAAAAAATTCTAAACACGAATTCCTTTTTCTCTTATAAAACACTTCAATATTTTTAAAATTCGTATAGTTTAATTAATTTTTGTTATATAGCTTGTAGAGAAGAATAAAGCATAAAAATGAATTGAATAAATGTGGAAAAAATACTGCAGAAAATAACAAATACACTACATACATATAGACAATATTCGAACATTCAATTTAATTAAGTTAGAAATTTTTTTAATGTAATCGTTATTTTATTATAGAAAGCGAATTAAAATTTATGTAAGTTCTTTATGGAACTTACATAAATGCATCATTTATCACAAATTTTATTTTATGCAATATAGTTAAAAGTCTAGAATAGTTTCCACATAAAACATTATTTTCAATTTATTTTTGAAAATTTGCCAAAACTAGAGTAATTCACATTTTTATTCGAGAAGAACGAACTATGAATATAGTGCTTAGGTATAAAAATTATATAAATTTGTGTTATATAATAAATGGGATGTCAAATAAAATTCTTTCTGTTGAAAAATAACATCTTATGTAAGAGTACATGATGTATTTGCACAAATTTTGCAGACATACGTGTATTCAAAACACTAAAAAGGATTAGGTAGTCCTTCACATTTTTTGTTTTTTGTATTTTTCTTGTATATAAATTCTAAAATTTATTTTTAAATATCTTTTGTCGTCGTCAAATGAAAATCAGCTATGTATAATGAAATTGAACTAAGAAAAAATAATAAAAAAACATAATAATGTTTGTTTGCTTTGCATTTGCAATAATTTTAGAAAAATGTATTTTGCATAGTCTACTTTAAGTTTTCATGAAAAAATTCACGATATTTCGCTGTATACTTAAGATAAAAAGAGTTGTCACTTATATTGCAAAAATTTATTTCGAGAACAAATTTAAATTATTAAATATTTTGGCAAAGCAAGTGTGAAAAAAATGAACAACAAAAATAGGAAAAAAAATTGATTTGAAAAATTTAGAAGTTTTCGATGGTAACTAAGTCTTTTTTCATAGAAATTCACAATTCTTTCAGGTGATTATGGAAAAACAATAGTATGTAAGACTATAAAGGACTGGCCCATTTCGGGTCTAATATTAATATTTTTCTGATATAAAATTCCACAGTTCGATGCTATTGCGTTGTTACAAAATATAAGTATTTATAACTTAACACAAATTACCATGCGAACAAACCTCACCAAGTGAATTTCTGACTTGCGTCAATTAAGAAAACGACATTCGTTTAATTGAACTTAAATTTTAACCTGTACATCAGCCTGTATAAAAAGACATTGTTTTAGAAAAAATTCCAACTCTAACATTTTATGGGTAATTTAAATAGAGAAAACAATAATCTAATAAATCTGAATCGTTCTTTTATAGGTACAAAAATAAACATCTCTCTATAAGTTGAAGAATTTCCAAAAAAGAACTACTCTCTGAATGAAAGAAAATATCATTAAATATGTATATAACCATAGCTTTGCGGAAAGGGAAAAGAAGTATTCCTGCATAATAAGAAATTAATTATATTATTAATAATATAAAAATTACAGTTGGAAATATAGTCGCCTTATCGGAATTTAATACATAAACAGAATATTTATATAGTGTGGTAGCTTAATTATTATTATCTTTATTATAACCACAACATCTGTTACACGATAGTATGCCTAAAACTGAAGAAAAAAAATCTAAAAATACAATAACTATTATATTGTATTCATTGAAAAATTTGTATTTGAATTTTATAAAGCAGCAGATGAAACAATATTTTTGATATATTTCGTCATTTATGATAATATTTATCATTAAAGTATTTAAAATACGATCTTATAGTAAACAATTAAGTTGGAGATTTGTATAAAAATTTGAAATTATGATTGTTTTATCATAGGACTTAATTTCAGCGTTCTCGAAACGTTTCACTTACATCACGTTACACTGTGATACATTAATTATCTCCTGTTCGGTTTGGTTTCAATTTGTTGACAAATTTAGCACTTTTGAAGTAATTTTGTTGTGTTCTGAATAAGAGAAAGAATATCATTCACAGTACAGGGTATCATAATATTGAATATCTGAATCAGGATGAAATATTACTCTTTATTATTATTAATCACATTAAATAATTATCGTTAAATTGTTTAGCAGATTAAATTTTATTTTGAAAATTATTTTGGTCATGGCGAATTCCTAATTAATTCGAAGAAATTTTCAATATAATCATAGAGTATTAATGACCTGTAAAACAAGCAAATT